CGACATATCTTTGCCTACGTCACTACTTTAGCTACAAGTACAGCTTGGTTTTTAATTTATTAATAAAGAAGAATGTATATCAATTTATTAAAATAACAATTGTATTTTAATGTAACCAATGTCTTTTATAACTCTATGCACTTAGATTTTTGCATTTCAAAATATTGTGTGAAAAAGGCTCTATGAGTTTCACAAGAAAGACTAAGAACTTGAGATTTGCAAGTCATGGTCTCTTTCTGATGATGTACAAGGAGTCAAAACACTTCCCAAAGGCATGGGGAATTTCTGTATAGACTGAGATGCTGGGATCTTCCATGATCCTCAAGAACACCTTCTGCATGAGTGCAGTGGGTTAGGAGGCCCTTCAAAAACAGTAGATTAAGGAAGGAAAAGTTACCCCCACAACCAGTCTTCTCCTGCATCAAATGTGGCTCTCCCTTTTCCATTTACTGCCAGGCTGCCCTGTTGATTGCCTTCTAAGCTTGAAGCAACAGAGTGCAAAGGAATGAAAACCATGTGCTAAGAACCAGTGAGAGTCAGATGTGGGGCAGGAGGAGACACTCTTTTTTCCTTTGGAGGGCAGCCTAGAGGAAGAACCTCAGTGAGAAACTCCTGCCCAGCATTTCCTCATTCTTCTCCGTCCTCAGGAACCTGGGTCCCAGCCGGCCACAGCCGGCCGTCTACAGGCTCCAGAAGAATCTGCAAGCTCTTCATGGGTCACTGAGAGATTATGCGCTTGAGTTTAAAGGTTCCACGTGACAGATGTTAAAGGAAGTGAGTAGATGTTGGCCATCTTCCAGGCTCAGTCTCTTTTTCTAGATGTGAACATCAAGACCAAGAAGGGTAGAATGTCTTCCTGCGGGCCTAAAGTTTCCCTTTGCCAAGATCCAATCAAAAAGCTTGGTGTCCAGCCAGACTGACGCTTGGTCTAACCTCCTTGTTTTCTTAAGGCAGGACAGAGGGCTCCCCATACAATGGGTGTTGAAGGACAGAGGGAGCACATCCTATCACCCCTTCTGAGTCTTTCCACCTATCAAATCTTTCTATACTTACACTCAAGGAAATGGGGCAGAACAGGGTGGTCTTGGTGAGCCTCTGCGGTTCAATTTTCTCTTTGCCAAAACAAATAATACCCCCTCCCTGTCTGTCCTTCTTTTCTTCACTCTAATATTTAAAAATTATTCACATTTTGGCAAGTTCCTAAGTCAAAGCAGGGGATTTTGTGGTGACATTGGTAATTCTAAGGTTATTTGTTTAGTTTTACGCTCCCTTGGTTTTTGTTTGTTTGATTGCTTTCTTTGGTGCTAGGGATTGAACCCAGAGACTTGCTTGTAGCACGGCTAATAAAAGCCCAGAGACAGATATTGGGGTTCAGGCTGAAGATCAGAAAAGCAAAGCCTCCAAACTTTTACCTCTACCAAATTTTTAGACCAAAAGGATAAGATCCTATATCTACGAATCCTCAGTCTACACACTCCAATGAGTTTCTGTCTCTTCCCCTTTATATTCCTCTCTCTGTCCAGCCATATTGCTCCTGTTTCCACCTCCCTAGTGCTGAGATTAAAGATGTGTGACTCCCAAACACTGGGATTAAAGGTGTTAGCCACCACCACCTGAATCTGTGTCTGGATCAATCTTGTGTAGCCCAGGGTAGCCTTGAACTCACAGAGATCTGTCTGCCTCTGTCTCCCGAGTCCTGGGATTAAATACGTGTGCCACCACTCCCTGGCCTTTAGTGGCTTAGCTTTGCACTCTGACCTTAAGGCCAGCTTTATTTATTAAAACACAAATAAAATAGCACTACTCTTGATCTTGCTAGACAAACACTATATCAAGGAGCTAAATCCCCAGGTCCAAATTAAGCTTTAAAATGTCTCTGCACTCCCCCACAGTCCCCATTGTGACTTCATCTATCCAGGACTGATAGGGAAGGTTGAAAAATTGAAATTACCAGGGAGGATTTGTGACCAGAATGACTTTGGAGGCTGGAAGGAAAGAGCCTCTGTTGCTGCGAGAGCTGAGTTTTCAGACCTGTGAGGAGACGAGGGATATGTGCCTTCCCACTGTGTTTCTACAGACTACCTTACTACTGTGCACACAGCCCACGAAGTAAACATTTCCTTGCTAATTGACAGAGGAGTAAAATCTCCCTTCAACATGACCCTTGGGAGAGAACGCCACACTTACGCTGTCCTCTCACCGAGAGGTGAGATCCCAACTGATCCATGATAGTCTCATGCCCGACATGCCTTTCTGGCCCTAGAAATAGGGGTCCGAGAAGTCTAGGTAGATGCAGCATTTATGCTGTAGATGTGGGTATTTATGCCTTGCTGACACACCCCTTACTCAGACTACAGGAACTAGCTGGCTGGTAGACAGGCATTGAGAGCCATCAGATTTCACAGCTCTGGCTTCTGGAGCCCAGATCTGAAGGGGCATAGTTTCTCCATCTCTGCTTGGCAACGGCACAGCTAAGTCTTAGTCTTTCTCAGAAATATAGCACTTTCCAAAAGCTGCCCTGGGCTGAGAATTTTCAATCAAGCATGTTCCAATCAATCAATCAGTCAGTTAATCAGGAAAGCAAACAGAAAGCACCCATTAGCAGGATGCTGGTTCAGTAGGTGAAGGGGCTCGCTGACAAGCCTACTAATGGAGTCAAGTTCCAGTCATGGGATCCACATAGCAGAGGAAAAGAACCAAGTCCCACAAGTTGTCCTCTGACCTCCACATGTGCTCTCCCCATAAGTGATGTCATAAACACACACATGCACCTACGTGTGTGTGTGTGTGACACCGTATGAAAGCATTTTAATATGCTTATATAGTTTCATACATATTCTTGAATTCTGGAAAGTTCTTATGACAGTCAGACAGGGAAAACTCCATTCCATTCCAGCCTGCTTCCCTTCCCCATCTCCTCCACACATGCTAAGTTGATGAGCTCATAAATTGGACACAGTGCACATTTTGGAATTTCTATAAAATTCTTGGAAACTTATACCGGATGGAGCAGTGCAGTATTTTTAATTCCTATGACATGTTTGAAAGGGAAGGAAAAACAGGAGACATATGCCACTAAGTAGCTTAAGATAATGTGGTCTTAACAGTTTATATAGAGTATTGGCAGCCTGCTGTATTATACAAAGCACTGAAGACCATCTTGGAGAGTCAGAAATGAACAGGATAAATCTGTATAGAGGAGAGTCCATGCCTTTGTACACCTATAATCTATTATATACACGGTAGCCCTGGTCCACACAGATTAAAACGCGCACAGAAATTCCTGAGATGATAAAGGATTCCAAAGCATGTATAACTTTGGGCACGAGTGAGTGAGATTCTGGTAGATGGAGAGGGGAGGTGGACATGTAGGATGAGAGTACCGGAAGGGAGAAGCCCAGCAAGAGATAATGGCCGTGGTCAGGAAACCTGGATCTCCCCCCAGCTCCCTCTGTCCCCACCCCTCTCCTCCCTTTCTCTCAAGCAAAGAGAAAATAAAGAGTTAATATTGTGGAAGACTAGTTTCCAGAGACCTGAAAAGGCAAGGGGGAGGGACGGCTGACCTAATTCTTTTTCACTTTGAAATCTCTCTCCTTACCGCCCTCCCTAAGTGGTTTCCACATCCCTGCCTCCTTAATGATAATGACAAGTGTCGAGATGAAAGAAGGCCAGAGAATTCTCTGAGTGCTGTTTTGTGTTTTCACCAGGAGCCTAAGTGCACCCACCAGTCAGGCAGTTCAGAACAATGGCATGCGGAAGGCACTGCCCAGCTCTTTCTCTCTCTCAACACCCCAAATGACGAGTATTCTGCATTTTTTTCTTTGAAAATTTCTTTCCTGTTTTCTCGCTAGTCATTAGTTTCTCTGCTTTACTGCTGAGCGGTACCCTTTCCCCCGTTAGCTTATCTTAGCTACTTATTATTTCCTGGCCTTTGCTGTTTTCAAAACTTCCCACATATGACCTCCCTGGTGCTTGTGCAAACAGTTTTCTCCTTAACTCCTGTTTTTTGAAACACACATGAAGTGATAAAGTACTATATATGCATTATATGTTAACATACATTATATGTGAGTTGGGTGTATGAAATCCACGTTTCACAGGAAGCATCAGTCAAGGTCCCCTTGCTCAACATCCTGCACTGGCCCCTGGCCCCCAAAGCTGGCTCAGCGAGTTGATTGTCTTCTGACAGCAGGTTCTATTTAAGGCAGCTGGACCGCGCGCCTGTCCTGTGGCTGGAATCTCTCTCCCTCTTGGCCTCTTCTGCTTGCTTGTCAGTGAGATAATATACATGGTAAGGCTTTCAAAGCGCATGCTCTGGTGGCGGTCCTTAACCCTGTGGGGGAAGACGTGTTTGCTCATGCATTCATTGGACAGGAATTTACAGAGCAAGATCTTCTGGGTCAGGGGCAGATGGTAAAAGATAGGGTGGCCCCAGATTCAAGGAGAGAGGGGGAGAGAGAGGAGAGAGAGGGAGGAGAAGGGAGAAGAAAGAGAGAAAAAAGAGAGAGGAAAGAGAGGGAGGAGAGAGTGGAAAGAGGGAGAATGAGAGAGAGAGAGAGAGAGAGAGAGAAGCAAAGTGAAGGGAGGGGAGAGGGGAGAAGGGGAGGAAATCACACAGTGCTTAGCCTGAGATCTTAGAGCCTAGAACAGAATTAGTCAAATACTTATTTGACAAGCTATAAAGTCATTACTGGGTTCAAAGGTCCATTACACCATATGGCTGGGAATGGGCACCACGCTGGTGTAGTCAAGACCTGGAAGATAAGTAGGAGCTAGCATTGTCAAAGCAAATGGTGGACAAGGAGCCTGGAGAAGTCACCTGGGGTGACTCCCTCACTAAACCAGGATGGCCTTCAAGGCAAGAACGCCACCACGCTTTCGTTCTTCATTCAATCTATGCTCTCCAGGCTGCGCTCCGACACCGGAAGCTTTCTCAAACAGATGTTGAGTGAACAGTATTGCTAAGGAAACACGATATGACGGGCCTTTATTCTCTCATAGAGTAATCCAGATATGCGGAGACGATACTCTCTTGGAGCTGGCCCTTTGCATGAGGCTTCCCTTGCTCAGCAATTGGGATGCATGAAAGAGGCTGCCTCAAGGTACAGCATCGTTAAACTGGCGTTTCTGCAGGAATTTAAATAACCTCTGTGGGTCATGTGGGTCTTGGGGGAGGATTGCTGGTTTTTATGCTCCTCTGCTGGTCTTCGGGATGGTGTCTAGAGCAACAGACACCTGCTGCCCACTGGTCCCGTGTGGGCTTAGGCTTGGGGAATCAGGCCTGTCCTCCCTGCTGCTGAATTCTCTCTCAGGTTAGGAAGGATCCTATGGTTTTGTCCGCTGGCTTCGCAGGACCTGCCACGTGCATCCAGGTTACTCTTCTCCGACTTTGATTCCCAAGCTATCTAACTCTAAATCTAGTAGCCTGAAGGGTGCCATCTGGATCTCCTTGGGATTTCCATCAACCAGGAGCCAGGAGGTCCAGCACTGCCCTCCTCTCCATCCTCTGTTGGGCGACACCACCTTCTGGAACAAGCTGAGCTGTCCTTTGTTAACCTGGGGCCCATTGTATGGAGGCTTATGCAGAGTTTTAGCAGGAAGTGAAATTCAGGCCTACACAAGGAATGAAGGCCCCACATATCCCACAGCTCTCTTGACTTAGCACAGTCTCCCCTGTTTATCAGCCAATCCAAAGGGTTTCCCTCTTCCTGCCCTCTCACCACACGCCCCTTTCTACCCAGGGAACATGCCTAAATTGACCCTGGGCAGCGTGAAGCAGTTCCAAATATGATTCTTAGTGTGATCTCACAAATTCTTTCTTTCACATGAGTGAATTTCAAATGTTTTTCAAAATCTCTTATTCTTAACCCGAAATGCTAATATTTAAGGGAATCGGCTTCTTAAAAGTTGTGATTGCAGGTTGCATACATATTTCCCAGAGGGGTATATACTCCTTCCTCCCCATCACACTAGTCTCTGAGATACAGACATCAGCTGATTTGAGAGCTATACACCAACCAAAAGAAAGCTTCAACCTGAACTGTGCCTTATTCCAACTGCTTGTGAGACCCAACTCTCTTGGACTATTGGCTTTTATAAAAGTGGACAAGGAGAGAGTCATTTGCTCTAAGGGTGCTTGTGAGCTGTGATCCTGTCAGAAGGCTCTGCTTAATACTACAAGGATACAGTTTTCTTTTTATTTTCTTGTTTTTACATCCTAACCAAAGTTTCCCAGCACCCCCCTTACTCCATCCCTTCCTCCTCCACTGTTTCTCTCCAGATACAGGCGGGCATCCCAAGGATATCAAACAGCCGTGGTTGTGTTAAACTGCAGTGAGACCAGGCATGCCCTCTGCCACCAAGGTTGGATGAGGCCATCTAGTAGGAGGAATGGGTCCCCGAAGCAGGCAACAGAGTCAGAGACATCCCCTGTTCTCACTTCTAGGACTCCCACATGAAGACCAAGTTACACAACAGTAACATATGTGCAGAGGTGTATTATAGATCAGTCCTGTGCAGCTTCCTGGTTGTTAGCTCAGCTTCCGGGAGCACCTGTGAGCCCGCGTTACTTGATGTTATCATTTCCAGCCTGTCCGGGGTTCCACGGCCTCACACGCAGCAGTTAGCTTTCTGGCAAAATGCTTCGTCACTCCAGGTGTTAGCATTTCCCGGATCCCACAGCTGCGCACGCACCATCAGCGTTTCGGCAAAATGCCTAGTTATCCCAGGACCTTATGCCTTAGGTAGCCTCGTAGTCTATGTGCAGCTTGGCAATGTAATCTATACGCATGCGTGGCTAAGTAAGCCCCTATACGCATGCGACCCTATATGCATGCACTGAACTACCTTTAAAAGCTGACACACCTGCCCCACTCCCTCTCTCCCATCTTGTTTCTTCCAGACAGGCCTGTGTACTACTCGCTCCTTTCCCTTCCCTCACTCTTTATTACTAAAACTCCTTTTTTTTTTTTTTTTTTTGGTGGTGGTGGTGGTGGGGTTCGAGACAGGGTCTCTCTAGTTCTAGGTTCTGTCCTAGAACTAGCTCTTGTAGACCAGTTTGGCCCCGAACTCACAGAGATCCACCTGCCTCTGCCTCCCAAGTGTTGGGATTAAAGGCGTGCCCCACCACTGCTCGGCTTATTAATAAAACTCTTAAAGTGGGTTTCGTTGTATATCCTGTGATCCGTTCCCGTGCACCATTGGGTCCTACAATCCTTCCTCCCCGTCTTTGGCAGGATTCCCCAAGCTCCGTCTAATGTTTGGCTATGGGTCTCTCCATTGTTTCTGACAGCTGCTGGGTGAAGCCTCTGATGACAGCTGGGGTAGGCACCAATCTACAAGTATAGTAGAATATAATTAGGAATCATTTCATTGATTTTTTTTCTCCCATTCATGTTTGGTTCGATCCCAGGTCTCTGGGGTAGTCCATTTCTGGTTCCTGGCCCTTAGGGGGCAAATCCCCCTCAGGATATAGGTCTCCAGCTGTGCCAGTCAGTCATCAGCTGGTCACGTCCACAATTTCTGTGCCGTCTTTACCTCAGTACATAATGTAATCAGGACAAATTATAGATCAGAGGGGTTGTGTCTGGGTCTTAGAAGGCTTGCCTGGTTACAGGAGATGTCTGATTCAGGCTCCATATCCCCCATTGCTAAGAGTCTTAGCTAGGGCCACCCTCATAGACTCCTGGGAGTTTCCATTGCATTAGGTTTCTAGCTCATCCCCGAGATGCCCTTGTGGTATGATTGAGCGTCCTTTGGGTATATACCCAAGAGTGGTATAGCTAGGTCTAGAGGTAGAGCGATTCCCAATTTTCTGAGATAGCACCATATTGATTTCCAAAGTGACTGTACAAGTTTGCACTTCCACAAGCAGTGGAGGGGTGTCCCTTGTTCCACATCCTCTCCAGCATGAGCTGTCACTTGTGTTTTTGATCTTAGTCATTTTGATAGGCCTAAGATGGAATTGCAGCGCATTTCCCTGATGGCTAAGGATGTTGAGCATTGCTTTAAGCATTTCTCAGTCATTTGAGATTCCTCTGTTGAGAATTCTCTGTTTAGACCTGTACAGCATTTTTTCATTAGATTATTTAGTTTGTTGATGTCCAGTTTCTTGAGTTCTTTATATATTTTGGATATTGGCCCTCTGTTAGATGTGGAGTTGGTGAAGGTCTTTTCCCATTCTGTGGACTGTTTTGTTCTATTGATGGGGTCCTTTGTTTTACAGAAGCTTTTTAGTTTCATGAGGTCCCATTTGTTAATTGTTGATCTTGGTGCCTGAGCTATTGGTGTTCTGTTCAGGAAGTGGTCTCCTCTGCTGATGAGTTCAAGACTATTCCCCACTTCCTCTTCTATCAGGTTCAGTGTACCTGGTTTTATGTTGAAGTCTTTGATTCACGTGGACTTGAGTTTTGTGCAAGGTGATAGATATGGATGTATTTGTATTCTCCTACATGCAGATATCCAGTTAGACCAACACCATTTGTTGAAGATGCTTTTCTCCTCTCTCCCTGCCCAGTGTATGATTTCGGCTTCTTTGTAAGAGATTAAGTGTCCATAGGTGTGAGGATTTACTTCTGGGTCTTCTGGTGTTCTTTCCCTTGTTTCTTTCTCAGCCCGTTTGTCACTGGTTTTCTTTAAAAGTGAAACCTATTGACTCTCACCTCTTCTCAAGGCTAATGGATGCCGCTCTAACAATGAATGCAGAATATAACAGGGCAGGCTGGCCAGTCGATAGCAGAGCTCCCCCAAACCATACAAGAGCACATTAAATCAAAGACTGCTTGAAAAATCATGTTAAGTGATTACCGCCTGGTTTTCCTTTGCCCTTTTCAAACAGGAGATTCAATTCAGCCTAAGTACCCTGTTGCTCTACGCTGTCTGCTTTGTGAGCAGAGTTTCAGTAGAAGCTGAGAAAGCTGAATTCTATTGCATTGGTTTAATGATACTCAGTTCTGGCCATGACCCAGAGGTGTCTGCTGCAAAGTCCACCTGGGTCACCAGTCTCATCTGTGTGTTGAGCAGACACCGGCAGGAGCTTGCATTTCCAAGATTACTGTATGTGGAGACAGACTGTGCAGTGCAAAGAGCCTGTCCTTAGGCCTGCTAAGCCAGGACTGATATTGCAGAACACGTCTTGATACCCGAAAGGATTTGCATGGCTTCTGTTTGTATTAATGGCTACAGATTTTAAATATCCGATGTATGAAAGCAAATCCCAAGAGAAGGAAGAGAAAGAAGAAGGAGAAGAAAGTATTCCCTGTTAGCATACTGTGAAAAACCTTTGTAGAAGCAAAGATTCTTCCACCACTGAACCTGGCCTTCCCTGATGGCATATTTTATTTTTGTTAGGAGGTCTGTTTACAGGCGAGTTGTATATCCACGTTTGCTTTTCCTCCTATACTAAAGTCATTAGTGGTGTAAGCTAATGATTTTATTTAAAGTATCACTTACTGTTATATCTATATTCTACAGAGTTAGATCCTCTATCTGAAACTTCTTGCCATTACTCCCTTAGTGTTGCTTCATTGGATCCTGAAGCAGAAGATTTAAATATTTGGGAAAGCTTATGGATTTTGTTACATATTAGAGACATTAACCTCAATAATCAGAGCCCAGTTGTTACAGAAGTCACACATGCTCACAGAAGACTGAGTATAGAAAAGTGGGTGCCAAGGTACCTGAAAAGAAAGTATAAATTGATTTATACTCTTTGAAGGAAGTCCTTCACCAGTTGCATGAAGTTCAAGGTGAGTTGACAGGCAGCAGCTGCCTGCAAGGCTAAGTAATTCTAAAGAACACTCAGCCACAAAATGGAGTTCATAAAACATCTTTCATTCAAAGCAGATTATAGTAACGAGGCTTAAGAGTGTAGTTTTCCTAACCCTGGGCCACAGAAAACCTTAATAATTAAATTCCACATTAGAAATCAAGTGTAGAAGAATGGAGACATTGTCTCTCAGAATGGAATTATCTTTAAGAAGAAAACATGTATGGGTATTGAAAGGAAAAGAGTTGACCATGCTCAAGTCTAATAAGTTGGATTATAATTTTAGAAATGGTATTGGTTTTGTAATTCTCAAATCCTTTGTTTGATTGTAGGGTG